CTACTATTTGTATAAAAGAAAAATAAGTATTTGGGTAAAATATCCCTTGAAAATTTCACAATTAATCAGTAACTCTGGTTACCTCTGGAGAGAGGAACTGAGGGACCAGCAGCAAGGCAACTTATTTTCACTGTCTACCTTTGTATACCTGTTAAATTTTTTAACCATGTATATTTGACATCTATTTGAAAAGATAAATTAAAGTTTTTAAAGTAGAAAAGTATCAATCAGAAACACATAAAAAGAACCCAAATTTTATAAGACAGAAATTAAATTATGTTCCAATCTTTTCCATTAATGTTATTATGCTGAAATTATATATTGCAGTCATTGAATGATTTTTCAAACACTGCTGCACACTTTCCAATTATTGATGCAGCGTAGTGCTTGCACCTCAAAGTGTGGTCCTCAGGCCAGCGACATCAGCATCACCTTGGGATTTGTTAGAAATGCAGAGTCTCAGGTCCCACCCCACACCTACTGAATCAGAATCTTTATTTTCAACAAGATTCTCAGGTAATTTGACTGTGGCATCTTGTTTGAGGAACGAGGAGCACTGAGCCAGAGGACATAATAAAAAACAAAGATATACAAAACAAAACAAAAACACTGTTCTACTCGTCTCTTCTCTTTGACCCCCCACCTCTCAAAATTGTTGTGGCTCTGAAACCGAGCAGGACCCTGTGGGGGCACTCCTGTGTACAAAAGCCTTTTTGTATACCCCCATTTCTGGTTTGCAGGAAAAAGGCTTCAGCTTCCTAGGCCTTCCCTGAACTCCAAAGGGCAGATTCAAGCAGTTACTAATTAGGGGAATGAGGGAATGCAGAAACAAAGAAAGGCAGTCAAGAAACAATGGGGCAGGTACCTGGTTCCTTCTCAAGGGATATACATTACTGATACAAATCTCCAAGCCCTTCTACTGGAACTAAGGCCTCCACCCATGTGGAGGATGGTAACTTCAGGCAGAGCACATGGACCCAGACTGGTTAGAATCAGAACACCACCCTGTTACCTCACCACCAACCAATCAAAGGAAGGTCACACACCCTGCAGCCCTCCCCCACAAATTCTGTCTATAAGAACTCTTCCCTTGGGAATTCCCTGGCAATCCAGTGGTTAGAACTCCACGCTTCCACTGCAGGGGGCACGGGTTTGATCCCTGGTTGGGGAACTAAGATCCCACAAGCCTTGCGGGCACAGCCAAACAAACAGAAACAAACAAACAAAATTCTTCTCCCCAAACTATTGGGGAGTTCGGCCTTTTTGAGCAAGAGCTGCCTGTTCTCCTTGGTGGGTCTTTGCAGTAAACCTTTCTCTGCTCTGAACTTCACCATTTTGGTTTGTTTGGCCTCACTGTGCATCAGTCACATGAACTTGGGTCCGACAACAGCTTGATGATTCTGGAAAACACTGCTGAGTGAAAGAAGGCAAACACAAAATAATCCAACCCATATGATTCTATTTATATGAACTTCAAAACAAACTACACCAATCCATGGTGTTTGAAGTCAGGATAGAGGTTACCTCTGGAGAGGAGAGAGGGGGCAGAGATGGAGCAGGGCCCAAGAGTTGCTTCTGGAGTGCTGGTAATATTCTGTTTCTTGACCTGGTTACTGGTTATTTGGATCTGTTTGTGAAAATTCTTAAGAACTGTACACTTCTGATTGGTATACTTTTTTGTATGTGTTTTATACTTCCATAAGAAAGTTTTCAAAAATTCCACTATTATCACCTACCTCAAGCCCCTTGACTGTTAAGAGGTGCCAAAGTCCAACGTGCTTGGGGAAAAGAGACTGAGCTGAAAAATTACTTAAACCGATTTAATTACTGATAGGTATCTCCGATTTAAATAGATTACTTTGTCACACACACACACTTATTGGAACTCCTGTGCATTTTTAAAAAGTCTTTTTTTTTTTTTTTTTTTTTTTACTCCATATTCATCAAGGATTTTCTAGGAAAGAGCAAGTTTCCCTGCTTAGAGCTGCCCTTTCCCTCTGCCTCTCTCCATTTATTTATTTTTTTTATTTTTATTTTTTTGCCGTACGCGGGCCTCTCACTGTTGTGGCCTCTGCCGTTGCGGAGCACAGGCTCAGCGGCCATGGATCACTGGCCCAGCTGCTCCACGGCATGTGGGATCTTCCCGGACCGGGGCACGAACCCGTGTCCCCTGCATTGGCAGGCGGACTCTCAACCACTGTGCCACCAGGGAAGCCCTCCTGTGCATTTTTAAAGGTGCCTACTATCGACAAGCACTCACCCAAAAGAAGACATGTTCGCAATGAAACTTCAAGGTGCTCTCTGGAGTGGTAGGAGAGTTACACAGGCTCTGCTCTCTTACTTAGTGGGTTTCAAGCCTGGATCAACAATTCATTAGTTACATAACCTTAGACAAGTTACTTACTCTGCATTTCTGTCCTTTTGGAGGATAATTATATTCCCACTTTATAGGAATATTCCCTGTATTAAATGAGATAATATACTTGAAGCACTAGGCACCGTGCCTGGCACATAATAGCAGGAGCCCATTAAGAGCAGACAATTAGGGACTTCCCTGGTGGTCCACTGGTTAAGACTCTGCGTTCCCAAAGCAGGGGGCACAGGTTCAATCCCTGGTCAGGGAACTAGACCCCACATGCCGCGACTAAAAGATCCCACGTGCCTCAACAAAGATCCTGAAGATCCTGCAGATCCCGCACATGGCAACGAAGATCCTGCATGCCACAACCAAGACCCAGTGCAGCCAAATAAATAAATAAATATTTTTAAAAAGAAAAAAATAGCAATTATTTAAGAGTACAGGACTCCCAAGTCAATAATTCCCAAACACTACCTCACAGATAATGATTACCTGCAGTTAAAGCTAATCACAAGAAGGAAAGATTCTGAAAGCCACTTCCCTGGAAGTTACTTCAGGTCTCACGATCCACATGGGAACAAGAATCTGGAGTGCCAGCAACAGGTTTCTCAGGATATTTGCTTTCAGAAGAACCCGCCCCATTCCACTGCCCTCAGCCAGCAGAGCGATACCTGTGTCCCTCACAGGCTTGCCACACTCCTCGACACAGAGAATGGCTGTTTCTTATGCCTCCTGCGTCTTGTTCCCATAAGCTTGCTCTAAAAGCTTCTAAAGTTTTCAGATGGAAATACTTGAAAGCAAACTTCATGCTCTTATTTCAAATCCTCAAGAGGCTCACCATTCTCCTTGCCCACTTATTCCCAGTTTCCTGGCTCCAGGTAACATTGTGAAGGTGAGAGCTGTCTCCACACCCAATAGAGAGTCTGATAGAGGGTTAGGAGACAGCCAAAGTAGTCTCTTTGACTTTGTTCCAAGATAAAGAACTTTTTCAAAACCCGTGCACTTTCAAAAGGTCAATGGTGGTAGGACTACAGGTATTTGGCATTTTTAAAATGACTTTCTGCATTTTCCTAATCATCTATGACTACGTATTATTTTTACTATAAGATTCTTTGTGTAATTACAAAAGCACTTTGTGCTCAATGCAGAAAACTTAGAAAACACAAAGGAAAAAATGTTCCCTTAATCACATCAGGTAAAGATAACAGCTGTGGGGCTTCCCTGGTGGCGTAGTGGTTGAGAGTCTGCCTGCCGATGCAGGGGACGCAGGTTCGTGCCCCGGTCTGGGAGGATCCCACGTGCCGTGGAGTGGCTGGGCCCGTGAGCCATGACCGCTGAGTCTGCGTGTCCGGAGCCTGTGCTCCGCAACGGGAGAGGCCACAGCAGTGAGAGGTCCGTGTAACGCAAAAAAAAAAAAAAAAAAGATAACAGCTGTGAACATTCTGGCATATGTCTTTCCAAACTTTTCTCTATGCAGAGATGCTTCATTTTTGTGATCTGGGAAAAAAGTAAACATTTAAGAGACAAAGTCTTGGGTCTTTAGTCTTCAATTTATTTCTGTTTTTAAACAGCATCTAACGGCTTGGAAAAGTCCCTAACAGCAAGGGCCTGCCCCATGCACTCCCAGAGGCTCCCCCACCCAGGGCTGGGGTCCAGGCTCCAGTAACTCCCCCTCAGCCACACTAGCCATCAAGCCTACTTTCTCTCCATCTCTGGAGACTTGGGACAGAAGAGGGTCTCCAGTTAGAGGGAAAGATGGCACTAAAGGACACTGCGTGAAAGGATTGGGCTCAGACACAGCTGCCTTTGTTAGTCTTAGGATATTTTGGGATTTGGTAGCATGCTCAGACAGACTGCGGGAGGGCTCAGAGAGGGGCTCCTGGACTCCTCTCTGGCCTCACTCATTCCTGGGTAAGCCTTACAGCACCTCTTCCTCTTGCCGGGCTCAGTGCATTGCCTTTAGAAGCTGGGCAAATGGTAGCCTGTGTAATTCAGCATGCCTTGCTGTGACCTGGTCAGCTGCACTTTACTCCTGGCCTAGACAGGGTGGGTAACCAGGAAGGTGACGAAGATTCAGCCCTGAGGGTCCCACTGCCTCCCGCTACAGGGCTTGGGACCTGACTGTACCAATCCCTTACCAATTCTCACCTAAAGGGGAATAATACAAGGGCATCTCTTTGGGAGGAGGGGCAAACCTGGGCATTTAAACCCCAAGCACAGGCATAGATGGGCCCCCAGGCCAGAGTCGCCTCAATGCATGCACTAAAGCAGCAGGGGCAGCTCAGCTAGGAGGGTAGGGGCCCACAAGGTTGGATCTACCCTCGCCCAACTCCTCTCTGCACCCATGGTAACCATGGAAACATAACCACCTCCTCTGCCTGCTGCCTGGGTTTAGACAACCAGGCCTGGCCCACCTCCACCCAGCCAAGGCCTGAACTGATGCCAGGCTGGCCACAGAGTGGTTGCAGGAAGAACTGGGATTGGGTGATTTGGTCAGTCCAGCCTTCCAGCACAGCTTGGGAGGACTACCACAGGAGCCTCCACACCTTGCTGCCTGGGCTGGGGTCAGACAGGGCTTAGTCAGCCAGTACAGTGGCCAGCAGAGCCAGCCGCATGGCCCCAGATGCCCTCTGCCTGTGGGCTAACAGCTACTGTGGGGTAGTAGCCCTTGCTGCAGAAGCAGCAGCCTCTGGGACTCATTGACGGGGCTGTCTGGCTGCTGCTCCTCCTGCCCAGGCCGCTCAGCCAGCCCCCCGGGGCTGAGGATGTACCGACAGTCACTGGGGGTGCCCCCCACAGCCCCCAGGCCACTGCCATCCCCAGCCCCGCTGCTGGCCGGGTCCCCACCAGGCAGCTCCAGGTTGCCTCCCTCGGCAGACTCCTGGGCTCCCTCAAGGTTGATATACAAGGGGTCCTGGCTGGCGGATAGCACAGACAGGCGGCCCAGGACATTCTCCAGCTCCATTCGCAGACATGTGAAGCTCGGGCGCTGCTTGGGGTCGGCGCTCCAGCACTGGTACATGAGCTCATACCTGCGGCAGAGAGAAGGGTGAGGGGACGTAGTGAGGAGCCAGAGAAAGGGGAAGGAGGGTCCTTCTCTCAAAAGCAGAGGCCCTTTAATCATAGGAAACCAGGATTTAGAAAAATGTGATTGAGGGAGTTCTCTGGTGGCCTAGTGGTTAAGATTCTGGGCTTTCACTGCTGTGGCCCCAGTTCAACCCCTGGTCAGGGAATTGAGATCCCACAATCCGAGCAGCGCAGCCAAAAATAAAAAAAAAAAAATTAAAAAAGAAAGAAAAAGAAAAGAAAATGTAACTGAACACGCTAATGTATCTGGCACTCTTCTAAGCATTTTACATTTATTATTAATTCTCTCAATACTGTGAAATAAGTGATCCCTATTTTACCAACGTTCAAACTGAGGCACAGAGAGGTTAAGAACCTTGACTAAGGTCACACAGGTAGAAAGTGATGAAGCTAGGTGGGCTGGGTCCAGAGTCCCTCTTACGTTATTTTGGGAAGGGGTAGTAGGATTGTTTTTGTCTTGTGGAACAGAGGCTGGAGTCAGGGTTATTTTATGGGGGTGATTCGGGAATCCACCCTTTGTCCTAAATCCTCACCTGTTCAGGGGGTCTTAAATCCTCATTGTTCATGAGGATTCTCACCTTCGAGAATCTGATAAAAGCTTCCAGCCCTTTTCCCCTGGCAGGGACACTTTTTACGTACAATTTCAGGAGCTTTGCAGATTCCCTGAGGTCTTATCCCTGTTCCCAGGGAATGCCTCATGCTGAGAAAAAATAAGTAAATAAATAACAGGAAAGGGTTGAGACCAGATCTAGTCATAGCAAATGCCTGACTTTCTTGCCTGTGCCCACGATAAAAGCCCCAAACACTCCTCCGACTCCAGCCCTCCTAACAGGGGCCTCCAACGATGGGGGGAATCATGCCAGACACTGAATAGGTCGTGGGAATGGTCCAGGCCATGGGTATGTGGCCAGGCTGGAATACACTGTCAAGGCCATGCCAGGAGCCAACTGGCGCCTGTCCACCAGGCTGCCTGGTGGGAGGCCAGCGCCTGCCCACCCTCTACTGACAACACTAACTCCAGCCCCAGATGACACTAAGCCAGGGCCTGGTCCCCATTGCCCAGCAGAACCTCTGTGGCTCCAGAGGCCCAGGCAGGCTACAGCCACCGGGAGACCTGACCTTTCTGCCCCTGACATGCCCGAGCTCTGCTGAGACGTAGGGCCTGGTTCATGCACTCAAATTGCCCTCTCTCCCACAGTCCAACCTCAAGGCACTTCAAACCCACTGCCCTAGAGAAAGAGGACCCTACCATTCAGGCTGAGCCTTCCTCTGCCTGTCTCCATTCTTGGACCTCTGGAGGTCCAACCCCAGAGCAGGAAATAGGTTTGTGGACTCCTTCCCTCACTAGGACTTGTACTAGTGAAAAGGTCCTCTGGAGGCCCAGGGAAACTCTGGCTTGCATGGGGTGGTAGAATAATACTAGAACAGACAAATCATAGTTGGGTTCATGGTTAATAGGCACATTCTAAAATCACACAGATCTAGATTCAAGTCCCAACTCATTCACTTAATTGCTGTGTGACCTGGGTCATGTTACTTAACCTCTTTAATCCTAGTTCCTCATCTACAAAATGGGAATAATAATAGCTTTTTCCTCATAGGGTTAGGGGAGGATTACCTGAAAGAATGCCTGTAAAGAACCCAGCTAATGTTAGTGATACTGTCTTCTAGTCACAAGGGGCTCATGACTCTCCCCCATGCAGTGAGTGTATCACCACCCTGCCCCACTCCCAAGGGCTCCGGGCTTCCAGAAAGGAGAGGAGGCAGTACCCTTCTTCCAGGATCTCAGTTTGTTATCTTAGGTCTCTCCACTCCCTCAGAGAGGAGGCCAAGACAAGAAAGGAACCCAACCTCCCGCCCCCAGCGCCCCCTCCCTGTCAAGCAAGGAATGTGATGGAGCAGCAGTTCCCCCCCCCGCCCCCCCCCGCCCCTGTGCAGCACGCCCTGAGGGGGAGGGAGACCTCAGCCTTAGGGAAGGAGTCGGGGTGGGGAACAGGTGACAGGGAAACCTGCACTGTTGCTCAACCCTGCACCTTCTGCCTTTAGGTGGGATTCCTGGTTCTCCCTGGAAACTGGAGAAAACAGAGTGATAGGAAAAGGCTGGAGCAAGAAACATGGGATGGTAAAGGGGGAGACAAAGAAAACAGGAGCAGTAGATGAAGAGGGAGTTTGGGGTAGAGGTCAGACTTGCCTCTAATGACAAGGACATTTCCACAAAAAAAAAGAAAAAAAATTGAAGTTTAGTTGCGGATCGGAGCTCCCAATGGGCCAGCAGCTGTTGCGGCGGCCATGAGCTGAAACCCCAAATACCTGTTTCCTCCCAGAATCCCCTTCCTGGGGCACTCACACGTCTTCCATACACTCCGGAGGCTGTTTCAGGCGGTTCCCGCCGATGAGGTAGTTGTAAATCTCAGCATTCTCAATGCCAGCATACGGCGTCTGCCCACGAGTCATGATCTCCCACATGGTCACCCCGAAGGCCCACTGGGACAGAATCGAGGTTGGAGGGGAGATGTCACTAGGCTTCCTGAGCCAGGCAGAGTCCCGAGGCAAGCATATCTTGGGGCTCCAGGGCCTCATAACAGGGCAGCCAAAGCCCAGAGAGCAGTGCTAAAGGTCCACCCACGCACTAGTCCGCACTACTGTGTTACCGTCAAGTCTCACTGTGCCGCCCTGCTCACCACGTCACTGTGCACAGTATACAAGTTGTCAGCCAGGCTCTCCAGGGCCAGCCACTTGACGGGCAGTTTGGAGGCACAGCCCTGACGATAGTAGTCCCCACTATAGATCTTCCGGGAGAGTCCAAAGTCGGCCACGCACACCGTCATGTCTTCTGCCAGCCTGTGAGGAGTGTCGGAGGATGGGGTCAGCCTTCTGCCAGGCTGACAGCCTAAATCCAGAGCATCTTTGTTCTCAAGCCGTCCCCTCACATAGCAGATACTGTCCCAGGTGGGAGCTGACCATTAGCTAGCTCTTCCTGGCACTGCTTCCTGCCTCCCAACCCCGAGCCCTCCAGAATTCACATACATGCAGTTCCGAGCAGCCAGGTCTCGGTGGATAAAGTTCCGGGAGCTCAGGTACTCCATGCCACAGGCAATGTCCACCATGAACCGAACCAGGGTCTGCAGGGGCAGGTTCTGGTGGGCAGACAGGGCGAGCTCAGGCTAGACCCAGCCAGGGCAGGATGAATGGGATTCCCTGGCCAGAAAGCCTAAAGACTGTCCTCAGAATCACTGAAAGGAAGGGGATGAAGGGGCTTCCCAGTGCAAGGAAGCCTTGGCAAATCTGAGGGAGAGCACCCAAAAGTCAAGACTCCCCCAATCTGGGGCTCCACGGGACTCCTCTCTCAGGAAGGGGCCTTGCCCAGCCTAAATTCCCAGCAGGGATTTGTGAAGGAGAAGGAAGCCTGTTAGCAAAAAAAGTCAAACTTGGAGCCCACCTTCTCCCAACCAGCTCAATTGGCCCTATCCACCAAGCCAACCTCTCTCCCAGGGTCTTTGTCCCTTTCCAGCTCCTGGCTGCTCCCACCCCAGGCACTCACAAAGGGGTTCTCCCCAATCCGGGAGGCGAGCAGGAAGGCGTGCAGGTCCCCGTGCTTCATGAAAGGCAGGATGACCATGGGGGTGGGGAGACGGCCTTTGGCCCTGCTCCGGAGGCTCACCCCTGAGGACAAGGGAGAGTCAGTGGGGCACATAAAGGTCAAGGGACAGTTCAGGCATCTGTATGAGACCCCACCTGCTGGGTTCTACCTCTAGCCCTGGTTCTGCTACCTCTTTCCTCATTAAGTTCCACACTGGCCTGGTGACTACCCAGGAGGGACCCTGGCTGCCCCCCCAGTCTCTGGAGCATCTTCTCTGTCCCCTCTTCCTCCTCCTCTGTTTATATGAGCAGCCTTCACAGAACAGGGTCTGCAAACTGAACTCCTTACCTAGAGCCTGATCAGATTTCAGCCAGGCTGCTCCTTGCTCTTTTGGTGTCTGCTTACTCACCAGGCGAAGTCCGAACTTCTCTTCCAGACTGCCCTCGCACCTTGGGGGAGCGTAGTTTTAGCCCTATTTTACATTTACCTCCCCCAAGAAGGGGCTCACCAACAAGCTTGGCCACGTGTGGGTGGTCAAACTCCTTCATGCAAGCCGCTTCCCTGAGGAACTCTTCAATGTCGCTCGAGGCAATTATGTCAGCTGGGAGGAAAGGAGGGAGGGAGTGAGGAAAATGTGCCCCCAGTGGGCCCAGGAAACAGTCCGGCCATGAACAGGAGAAACTCCCACGGGCTGGTGCTATCCAACAATTTCTCCACTCGCTCACACCTTCCCTTCGGTTTGGAGAGTCAAACGGCTCAACCAACCACAGCTTTAATCACCCCGAGTGAAACCACAGGACAGTCACTGCTGACAGCAGGGGACAAAGGCTGGGGCATCAATGAGTGTGGGTTTATGCCTGTGAATTGTTGACATGGTACAGACAGCATCCCACTTAGTGCTAACTCGTCTTGCAAAGTCTAGGGGCCTAGCAGAGCCTGCTTCAGGATCGGCCACCCCTTTCACCCTCCCAAGTGACGCCCTCACTCTACTCTAGTACTATTCTCCACTCACCTTTCAGCATCTTTACAGCCACTTTCACAAAGGAGCCATCCTCCTGCTTCAACTGGGCCTCCCTCACTGAACCAAACTCTCCTAGGAACCGATCCAAATGATGGTAAGTCCCGTTGGCCTCCTGTCCCCAACCCAGAGCCCTCCCAGGGGACCCCTCATAGGGACACAAAATCATTAGACTCTGGGGCCACTGAAAGAGGCTCCCTCGTTCATAGCAAAGCAAAGTATGCTGGGCTGGGTGTGATGACACCTCAACCCTTCTCGTCCACAGCCTCCATTCCCCCAAACATCCCAAATCCAGGAGTCTACAAGCATATGCTGTTCATAGGAGCTGACCTCAGAGTGACGGGAGCAACCAAATACACCGGGACATGGCAACTCATGCCAATCCCTGCACAGCCTCACACACCTTTGCCCAACATCCGGCCCAGGGTGAACTGCTGCTCTGGGATGAGTACATCCTCCAGTTTGTCCTTCAGCTCATCACTGATGCCCAAGCTGTCCACTGTGGGGAGGCGGGTGGTGAGAAAGGGGAGGGACCTCTCTGGTTCCAGATCCAAAACCCAGCCTGCCTCCTGCACCCCAGACTCCACCCTCAAAGCAGAGATGAGCTTAGGTGAGCTCTCCCACAGCTGGGCCAGCGATTTCCATGAGGATAGATCTGTGTCTTTTCCACGGTGTGCTTAGGACTCATCAAGGTTCAGACCTATTGGTCAAATTAATAAGAGGAATGCAGATAGGGGTCCAAGATAACCCATTTTTTCCTCCTATGGCTCCCCACCACTCACTCACGTGTGGCCTCGATGCGCTCGGGCCTTTCCCGATTGAAGGATCGTGCTGCCCGGAAATGAATTGCTGGCTCCCCCCGGGCCATGACACTGTCAAAGCCTTGCCTAAAGGGAAACCCAGGACTTGGAGTCAGCTCCAAGGTCTTCAGTTACCACCTGCCTCTCCCTCTGTGCGCCCCCTTACCCAAACCGTGTCTCCTTCCGTCTCTTTCGAAGCAGGATGAGGGCCAGGGCAGCAGCCGTCACCAGGGCTGTCAGCACACCCAGGACCACAGGCACCCAGGATGTGCGGCTATGGGGAGCACCCTGCCGGCCTGTGGGAGACAGGGCAGGAAGCAGCACGAGCTAGCCTGACTCCAAGGAGGCCCTTTAGAATTTTCCAGTGATGGCCATCTGGCCTGGTCAAGAGGCTCCTCTCACTCAGTAAGGGTCCAGAGTGGAAAGAGGCTCCAAAGGAAGAGCCAAAAGTTCCTACTCTGTCAGTGACAGGCCCTGACTGTTGGGACCTACAGCACGACCAGGGATTTCTACGCTAGCTGTAGGGCAGGGGGAGGAGAATGAGATACAACCCTGGCCTCAAGTGCTTGACTCTGAGTCTTTGGGCCTATTAAGAGCGGAGGCACTGCCAGCCTCCTCCCATCAGTGTAAGTTGCCCTTGAAAGCCTCCATCCCCTGCCCCCTTCCCCTTACAGGTCTCGCAGGTCTTACCTGGATGGTCATGAGAAGAGACCACCAGTGGCTGACTCCAGGGCCCACAGCCAACTGCACTGGAGACACACACACGCACAATCAGGTCCTTCTGGGGATCCCAGCCCGTCAGGTTGGCCCTGGTCCCCTCCACTGTCAGCTCACCCTGCAGCCAGGAAAAACCCCCATCGCACACTGAGCCTGAGTAAAAGGCCTCCCAGCTGGGGCCTGAAGTCAGAAAAAGGTCTCGCTAGGAACGTGGGAGGTTAGGGACACTGTGGGTTCAGGGGCTGCAGGAACACAACCTGCTGGGAGTCATCACATTCCTGCAGCAGGCTGCAGAGGCCTCTCCTGAACACAAACAAGGCTCAGTCCGAGAATGCAGACGTGGGGGATGGGCAGGAACTGGGGGGTGGGGGAGGATAAGAAGGCTTTATCTGTGTCCTCCCCCAGTTTGTGCAGGAATGTGCTTCCTGCTTTCCTTTCAAAGTGGACACGGGAGGCAATCTTAACAGGAGACATAATCCAATGAAGAGTGCAGCCTGCAGGGGAGGGCGGGAGGGGTAGACTCCCTGGGATGGTAACAGGCCCATCAAGGTCCCCAGGCTCACCAAGCTCACTGAAGCTCAGAAGGCCTCAGAGCCCTGAGGGCCGACTCTAGTAGTAAGCAGAAGCTTTCCTTACCTGGGTTCCGTTGTCTTGAACCCAGGACAGTTTATAGGGTCCCAGAGGGCCTTCTAAAGGACCTTCAGGGATCACTTCTTCCCACTCCAGAATGAGGCCTGAGTCTGTGTGGATGGCATGGAGGTTCTGGGGAGCAGTGGCTGGGGCTGTTCCCAAAAAAAGAAGGTTGCTAAGAGCCCTGCCCTACCCACCACCACTATCCCTTGCAGGTCTTTGGAACCAGCTCCAAAGAACCAAATAGCTCAGAGAACGACACGTGGGGGAAGAGTCTGCTTCCCAGGTCTGACTGCTCTCACCCATCATCCTGGGGAGTATGGGTGGGTAATGGCAGGACCCGTACCATCCCAGTTAGGCAGGGTATTGCTCTGCATCACCTTGGTTACGGCCTCAGCAACATCCTTCACTCTCCTCTCACAACCCTGCCAGCCTCCTTGCAATTGCTAGGAACTCCAAGCAAGTTTGTGCCATAGGGTCATTGTACTTTGTGCCCTCTTCCTGCAGTGATTTCCCCCAAATATGGCTCTTTCCTTATCATTCAGACCTCAGATCTCTGTATGGGGGTATTCCTGGAGCACCCTGGGGCACTCTTCACCACCATATTACCTGATCTTTCCCACTTTGCTTGTCTGCCCCACCCACTAGAACTAGAGCTGAATGGGAGGGGGACTGGACTTATCTCCAGGTAGCAACAGGCCCTCAGTAAAGTGTTTGCTGACTGATGCATGATCCTCCCTCTCAGGTAGCCCTCTCTCAATCAACGCCATTCAGAACTGGAGCCAACACTACCCCTACTACCCCAGCCCCCGGCCCCATTCATCCATGCCCAGGTACTCTGCTCTGTAAGTCCCTTACCTAGACCCTTTGTCCGAAAGGGCACCCAGTCAGCGTATGGAGAAGCCCCCAAGGCATTGGCACAGCGAACCCTGAGGCTATAGTTGGTGGCAGGTGCCAGGTCCCGGAGCAGGCAGGTAAAAGGTGGCACAGGGACCACAACAGCCAGGACCTCCCAGCCTCCTGGGGCCTGAGTCACCTACAGAAAAACAGAAAATTAATTACGTGGGACTTCTCTGGTGGCACAGTGGTTAAGAATCTGCCTGCCAATGCAGGGGACGTGGGTTCAATCCCTGGTCCCGGAAGATCTCACATGCCGCAGAGCAACTAAGCCCGTGAGCCACAACTACTGAGCCCACGTGCCACAACTACTGAGCCCACACGCCCTAGAGTCCATGCTCCACAACAGGAGAAGCCACCACAATAAGAAGCCTGCGTACCGCAACGAACAGTAGCCCCCGCTCACCACAACTGGAGAAAGCCCACGTGCAGCAACGAAGACCCAATGCAGCCAAAAATAAATAAATAAAATTTATTTAAAAAAAAAGAAAATTAGGGCTTCCCTGGTGGCACAGTGGTTAAGAATCCGCCTGCCAATGCAGGGGACATGGGTTCAAGCCCTGCTCCGGGAAGATCCCACACACCACAAAGCAGCTAAGCCCATGAGCCACAACTACTGAGCCTGTGCTCTAGGGCCCACGTGCCACACTACTGAGCCCGCGTGCCACAACTACTGAAGCCCACACACCTAGAGCCCGTGCTCCGCAACAAGACAAGCCACCGCAATGAGAAGCCCACGCACCACAACAAAGAGTAGCCCCTGCTCGCCACTACTAGAGAAAACCCCCGCACAGCAACGAAGACCCAATGCAGCCAAAAATAAATAAATAATTTTTTTAAAAAATAAAGGAAATTAATGATGTAAGGCAGGGAGATTTCTTAAGCATGTGAGATGAGATGGAAGATGGGACAGGTAGGGGGATGGTTGGGGGACTTGAGTTAATGCCTCTTCAAGTCTATCAGCAGAATAGCCAAGACTTGGAAACAACCTAAATGTCCACTGACAGATGAATGGATAAAAAAGATGTGGTACATATATACACAATGGAGTATTACTCAGCAATAAAAAAGAATGAGATAATGCCGTTTGCAGCAACATGGATGGACCTAGAGATTATCATACTAAACGAAGTAAGTCAGGAAGAGAAAGACAAATACCATATGATATCATTTATATGTGGAATCAAAAATATGACACAAATGAACATACCTATGAAACAGAAACAGATTCACAGACAGAGAACAGACTTGTGGTTGCCAAGGGGGAGGGCGGAGGAGGAGGGAAGGATTGAGAGTTTGGGATTAGCAGATGCAAACTTGTATTATATAGGATGGATAAACAACAAAATCCTACTGTATAGCACAGAGAACTATATTCAGCATCCTGTGATAAATCATAATGGAAAAGAATATGAAAAAATATATATAACTGAGTCACTTTGCTATACAGCAGAAATTAACACAACATTGTAAATCAACTATACTTAAATTTAAAAAGTCGATCAGCAGACACTTGCAACCCACCCCTTCCCACCCGGCCACCACACCAGGTTCCACGCCTCCATGTCTTTGCAAACGCTGTTCCCTTTGCTGAGAATAACCTTCCTAGCAAAGTCCAACTCATCCTTTAAGATTCAATGCAAATACCACTCTCTCTGTGAAAGCCTTTCTCAAATACTCGAGAAAATCCATGCCCCTTTCTGTTTGATGCATAATTATGTTAGAGTGGATACCACTCTTTGTAACTGCTTACATGCCAATGCAAACTCTCAGAGCAAAGTAACTGGGAGCCTATGGGCACCATGAACCAGGCCTGCTCCTTACATTTTGGGGACCCAGGGCAAGAGTACAAATGGAGATCCAGTGTACCATATGACTAAATATTTAAACGTTAAAAATCAGCGAACAGACTATTAAGTAAAATATTTTCTATCTTAATGTATTGACAAACAAAGCTACAAAACAACCTGGAAGATCGGGTTTGCATTTATAATTCTCCAAATCCTTGGAGTCCCAAGCCAGAATGTGGTGGCACAAGAAGAGCCAGCCTCCAGCCAAAGGTCTGCAACATGAGGGACATCACATGCATGGCTGTGGACAGTGCTGCCTGAATACCCACTCCCCCTCAAATGGCTGCCCTTTGAGCTTAGAGGTGCACATACCTTAGCATGATCCATCCTTGGGAGGATGGACCAGGGAGAGGCCCATATAGGCCCCAGAAGCAGACTCAGATTAAGAGGAGAGGGGTGTGTCCTGGTGAGCTGGATGGGCATGTTCCCCTGGCCCTATGGATTCCCTGCCCAGGGACAAGGGGTGCAACCAAAGGAGGGCCAGAGTGGGGTCCTCTAAAGGGTGGAGCCGAGAGCAGGGGCCTTTGTTGCCCAAGAGAACTGCCTAGAACCATGTCAAAGGTGCTCATTAAATACCTTTTGAGTGAACAGACAAAAATGAACAAGCCTGAATTGCCTCATTTTTAGTATCATCTTACCCAGCTTTCCCACTGTCTGGGGCCTAGGAGCTCTTCTGGTCCCCCTGTTCTCTTTGGCATGGGTCAGAGGTTGGGGCACAAGAATGCAGGTATCAGATAAGTCAAAGGTTTGGGTTTTCACCCACATAAGAAAAACTCTTCTAGGTATCCCCAATCTGCTCTAGTCATCTGTTTTCCAGCCTGAAGAATGCACAGGTTGAGCCGATCTGCCGTCACTTGATTGCTAGAGCACCCTATGATAAGGGGCAGTGGCCAGGGCTGTTCCTGGTAAGGGAATGTCACCTGAATAGAGCTGGAGACCAAGCCCCATGGGCAAGAGTAGGTAAACGTGATACCACTGTCAACAAAGTGCCACCGAGGCAGCCAGAAGGAGCACAGCCAGGAGAGCCTGTCCGCCCTCTCAGCCTACCTGGACCGTACAGGATTGGAGCAGGGCTTGGCCGTCGGCACCTGGCGTCCAGGCCACACTAGCATTGCTGCTGGAGAGTTTCGTCACTGTGATGTTGAAGGGGGCTCCAGGCAGTGCTGTGGATGGGGACTTAGAGTCAGTGCCCAGGGAGGATAGAAAAAGAGGGAGAAAGCATGGGAGTCGAGCCTTGAGTTCCTCCCTAGGGTTCCACCCAAAAAAAACTTAAGATGGCTACTCAGCACTCCCAGGACCACAGTAATACACAAGTCAAGCAACTGGCAGCGAACAGCTGCTCATACCCGAGAGTGCCTAGGCTGTGGAGAGAGGTTACTGCTCCCTGAATCGGGGGCCCTGTCTGACCAAGAAATAGGGTAAGATAATGTGTGTCTGGCGGTGGCGCGGCGGGGGAGCATGGCACCTCGGCCTTGGGAGATACCAGTGAGAGGCAGCTGACCCTGCGGCCACAGCCCATTCCTGCACACACTGGCTCTCTTCCCCTTTCCACCCTGCCCGCTGTGCACAGCAGCCCTTTGGGTCTCCTCTATCATCCTGCTAGGCTGTTATCCCCACCCCCATTCCCTCAACAGGGGCTGGCAGAAGCAAGATTGGGCCTGAGCCTTGACCATCTCCTGCTGGCTCCCTCCCTCCTTCCCTCCCAAGGACTCTGCTTCGTGATGGGAAATCTACTGTGACGTCAGGTTTCTATTCTCATCTCAGCCATGGCAGGGTCTCAGGTGCTCCCACTAGGAATGGAGCCATGCCAATTAACCCCTCAACCCTCAGATCCCAGCAGGACCCAGGCAAGCTGGAACAGCAAACAATTCTAACTTCACCCACAGCCTGTTGAGAACGCCCCTGCCTTACCACCCCTCACCTCCCAGGGTCCTCCTACCTTGAAGACGAACAGTGGCTGGGCGAGAAGAGGCCAGGCCTTTTACGTTGTGAGCTTCACAGGAGAACACAGTGCTCTGGGTCACCCCTGGGGCCAGAAAACCTCAGTCAGCACCGCCCCCCAGCATCAAGTCCCACTCAGTCTGGGATTGGGGATAGTCAGGCTCTGGGTCTGAATATCCTACAATATCCAGCCAAAGGAAAGGTTCCACAGTGTGGGCCTGGATATAAATCCCAGGGCTGGGGCTCTGGTTTCTCATCTCCCAAATGGGAGAATTGTGAGAACCAACTGATGCAACATATGTAAAGTGCACGGCACACAGTACAGCACTTGAGAAATGTTATACTGCCCCTCCCACCACAATCCCATCTCCCGCAGACAGTACAAAGCTACCTCCCTTTTCTGGTCACTCCTTTATTGCACATTCCAGGGCCCTTCTCTATTTGCTCTGTGCCATATCATTGTTCTATTTGCAGAGTCGCTGCCTTTCAATAGTTCTCTGCTCCTTATGCATGTGTCTTGTCTCCCCAGTTATACTAATTCCTGGGGGGCTGGACCGATGGCTTCTATTTCCTTTGTACTCCCTTGATCTCCCGTGGTGCCTAGCACAGTGTGCTGTGTGGAGTGGGAGTTCAGTGAGTGCTCATTCTCAAGCTGGCTGCCTGACGGTCCCAACCACGCACATCTGGAGAGAACTGAATCCAACCTCCCTTCTCATCTGCTCCAACCCAGCGCCTCCTGAACAGGATCAGATCCTGCAGTCCACCTCCTTTGAAGATGAGTATTCCTAAGGGACTTGGCAGATCAGAGTCCGTCCCTCCCACCTTACAGTACATGAGACTAAGCTCAGACTCCCATCTTTTTCGGCCAGTTCAAGCCTTGACCAGAAACATTAACTTTGTTTCACAGGTTAGCAAGTCTCACAAGTGTGTAAGGTATGTGCCTGAGGATCCTGGGGTCCAGGTGGGTGGGCAGGCGTGGCTGCCTCTGGTCTAACTGTGTGGAGGTGTGGACAGATACAGTTGTTTGGGAAAGGTTTGGAGATTTCTGGAAAAGGCCATTAGAAGAGGAGGCCCCTGTATCTTTGTGCTGGCTTCCCCCTCCCCCTTTTCCTTCCCCCTGCCATTCCCCACTCTGCAGCCTGAGACTCTTTACTTCTAGGCAAGTCTGCCAGACACTCCTCTTAGCTCTGCATGGGCTGGTTCCTGGATTCTTCCCTTGGGAGGGGTAGGAGGGATAGGTGCCCATGGTCCCACACATTCATCTTCCAGGGCCAGCTGTGCATGGCCTAGACTGCTGTGAACGAAGGAAAGAGGCTCCAGCATCTCCTTAGGCACACGCAAAAGGATCACCACTAATCAGCCCACCCGGCCAGCCTAGCACACCTGACTAATGAGCTTAGTAATGGTGGGTGCAGCTCACGTACCCAGGCACTCCGGACACTCACGACCGCGGGCTCGGTGATTTAAGCAGATTCGAACTCTGCCAACCTCACCACCCCTGCTCAAAGCCCCTCCTGAGGCTGCTCACCTGTTACATTTAAAACGGAAGGAGAGGGAGCAGGTCCCCCAACCTTTGTGCCTCCTCTCCACCAGACAATGGTAACAGGTTCTGGGGGACCCACGGCCTCACAAAACAGTTGGAAAGGGGCATTGGGTGGCACTGCCAGATCTTTTGGCTCCACAGTGAAAAATGGCACACCTAGGGGGAAAAAGGCGGGTGGGGAGTGAGCCTTGCCACCTCTCAGCTTCTGACTGCCCAAGCCACAAGTCTGCTACCATCTGAAGCCCTCTATGCGGAAGGTCCCACAGGCCCTTATGATTGGGTCAACTGCAGAACAGGCATCTAGCTTGAGGGGGGGAAACTTCTCTTCTTTGGCCCCCTCAGGAATATCCTTTATGCTGTACCCTTGGGCCTGACAGATTCTCCCTTTTCAGACCTGCTCTAACAGCCCTTCTCAAAGCAAGGGAAGAGGCAGAGGGTGGGGAGCTGGGGGAGGGGCAGTAAGGGAGGAGGAGTGGGCGAGAGCTTTAGCAGAGTTCTGCTGGCAGGCCCCAGATCCCGTTCAGAGCCCTTTGTTACTTTCTTAGTCACTTTGTTTTCCGGGGTTGCACAGCTTTGAGCTCCTGCAGCTGCGGATCCTTCCTCCCCTCCCCCATCCCTCCCCCTCCTGGCCTGGCCACTTGGCAGAACAGGGTCCAGCCCCAGATGGGTGCTTGAGGCTTGTTTGTCAGACAACTGAAACTCGACTGCACCCCATAGATTATGGGTCTTAGTTGCCCCTTTGGCTCTCAAATACCCAGACTCCAGTGGGTATGGTCTTCCATGGCTGCGCCAGGCCTGGAGTCTGGCGCAATCAGTTCCCAGAGGGCAGTGGGGCAGCCCAGCTTCCACTCAGATTTCTTGGGCATAGGGTGGTCACTAGCAGACAGCATCTGCTCCAGGCCAACACGCCCACGTGGCTCTGCCTCCTCACCTTCTACCGTGAGCCACACTGGCTGGGAGGTCTCGGTTTCGCCCCCATCCTCCACCTGGCACCAGTACCGGCCCGCATCAGAGCGCTCCACTGACTTCAGGCTGTGGAAACAGGACACCAGGTCTCCCAGGGTCAAGGGGGGCAGCTCTGCTGGGCAGGTTCAATGGGATCAGCCTGCCCCCGCTTCTGGAAGTCTCCACAGGTTGCCGAATAAAAAAACCACAGACCTCTGGGCATCAGCATTGCCACCAGCTCCCAAATCCCATGGAAAGAGCACAACGTGTCCCCAGGCTGGCATCCCACACCTTCACCCACAGTCCTGCACCTGAGGAAGCCAATCCAGTGCTGCTCACTGACTGGGATGTACACCTGATCCACGCTCTGGACAACAGCCCCGTCCTTCACCCACTGTATCTCAGGCTCCTCCAGCCCCTCCACGCTGCAGTTGAGCTTCACCGGCTGCCCCTGAGACACTGTCAGCTTCACTGGGGCTCCCATGAGCTTCAGGCCTGAGAGGTGGGAAGGAGAATGTGTCATTCTGCTTGAGAGGGACCCTGTCTCTAGAAATATCCCCCATCCTATTCCAAAACCTAAGTTCTGTGTCAGGGGGCTCATTCTCAGCCAATGGCCAAGGAAGCAGAGGCAGGACAGTGTGGGAGGGAAGGTAGCCTGGACCCAGGCTGGAGGAAGGAGCATGACAAGCTCTCCAGGCACCATTTCTGCCACTGCCAAGTTCCTCCCAGCTGTAAGGAAGTGACTTCTTCCCCGTACCTCCCTGCTGGGCAATGTTAAGTCAGGCCCAACCACCAAAAGGAAAGCAAGCCAGGCTGCAACAGTGGGGTGCTTTCATACACCTGGGGTAGGTACTGCCCTGGGAATCACTGCTGCACCCAGTCAGTGCAACAGGCAGCCAGCTCTCCACCCAAGGTGTCAGCCTAGGCCCTGCACTGCTGCTGGCATCCCCCTGCACCCTACCCTAGCAAATGTAAGGAGGCTGAGGAAGGGAAGGAGGGGGTGCTCCCCTGAAGTGGAGAACATATGGCTGCAAAACCACGTCAGAAAACACATGGCAGCCTTCCTGGCAGCCGGCCGCTCTATTAATACCTGAATGGGTGCAGTGGCAGGCGTTAGGAAGGTAGGAGGTAGACGGGAGGGGAGGGGCCCTGAACAGGGAGCCAGAAACCCCTGAGCTACTCTCACACCAACAGGGGCACTACCCTCTGAACACACACACACACACACACACACACACACACACACACACACCCTCAGAGAGCTGCAGGTGAACTATCAACATAGCTGAAATCCAGTTCTGCTTCTTCCTGCCCTTTGCTGTGTGACGCAAGGCAAATCCTGAGCGCTCTGATCCTAAGATACATACACCCTTCCGCTTGTAAATACTTGTCACTCTTTTGGGTGGCTGCTGCTCTGCCCTGTGTCTCTTCCTACTCCCTTCACCCTCTCAGGACCAGCCACAGTGCAAGGAGGGGTAGCCTTACACCCCATACATGCCCAGCAGTCCCAGGGGTGTGTAGTGTGAACTTGGGGATCCTGGTGCTGCAAGAAGCACTCCTGCCATTGGCAAATGCCTCATGGCTATGTGGGAACACAAGGCTGAGCAAAGGCCAGCAACCCTGCCCCAGACCATCCTCTCCAACACGCCCAGTTTCAGGAAGCTCGGAGAAGGCACCGCGACTAGAGTACGCCCAGGTGTTTTCTGTGACTGGGCACTCTCGAAGCCCCTGTACCTACATGATGTAGAGGTGCCGATGGGTGCTCAGTCCCAGCCCCTGTGGCTTCAGAGTGGGACCTTCGTTTGTGTGGGGCGGGTAGATGTGGCCCCCAGGACTGGGAGGGGAGAGCAAACAGCTAGGAACGTCGAGGCGGGAAACGCCAATCCCAAACACCCCCCGCTGACCACTCGGCCCGCAGCCCCGCTCCTTTCCTTACAACCCCGCCAGATGAGCCCGCACGCGAGAAAGTTGGGGGGTGGGGGCCGCGACCCGAGATCCCGCGGCGAACGCACCGCTGAGCCCCCTCCCCGCTCCCGAGCCTCGGCCTTCCAGCTTGGAGCCCCCCGCCCAATTCTCCGGCCCGCCCAGGCCCGGGGCTCGCTCGGCTGCCGTCCCCGGGCTCCGACCCCGACCGCGCCCTTCCGCAGCCCCCCGCTTTCCGCCGCCCCTCGGACCAGCCCCTACCTGCGGCCGCGGGCTCGGGGAGCAGCAGAGCGGTTAGACC